ATGAATCCCCCACAATATTTTGGCTTTACCTCATCCCAGTTATCAGCTACACACCAGCTGTGTGTTTTACAATGACTCGCTGGAGAGACATGACTGAAAGAACCAATCTGTGACATGGAGAGGCAGTGGCAAGGCAGGGCAGAAGGTAATGGGACAAAAGTGAGGTCAGATGGGAGAGAAGTGAAGTCAGAAAAAAAAATTAGTGCTGAGAATGAGAAGAAAAAAGGGGAGGGAAAGAAAGCATAAAATTACTTGTAGTAAATAAAACAAAATTCTAAACAGACTTTCTCAAAGTAGCACTTTGAGAATTACGTCCTGGTAAACTATGCAATTTCTACATGACCTTTGCATTTCACTAGTACAGACTCAGAAATAAATGAAGGGAGACCATACATTATCTTAGCATCCAATGTAGAGATTAAAAAAAATTTTAAGGAGGTGAGATGGAAAAAGGAGGTAAAAGGGAAAAATTATTCTCCACATTAAAGTATTTGCATCTAATTCAAAGTAGATGAGAACCAAAAACATCAACTTTCTAATCAACTCCAAAGGATGGTCTATTACCTATAACTAAATTCACACAAATGCATGACATAATACATTAGGTGGAGAACTCAATATATTTAATACTTCCAGAGAATACAGATATGAATTTCAGGAAAATGTTTTTAAAAAGAAGCACATATAGCCCAGGTGAATAGAAAGGGAAATAGAAGGTGAAAACTTTTTCAATCAAAACATGTTATGATTTTCAATAAATCCCATTAAGATAGAATCATATAAAATTTTTGTTAAACATTTATCAAAAACTCATGTTTTGAGTGTTGCTAGGCTTAGCTGTAGGACTAGAGAAATAGGGAAGACCTAGATTAAAGCCTTGGGACTACTTCCCAAGCTTCAAGATAAAGCTGCTAAGAGTTAGCTGGCTCCCTTGGATGAATGAGAAAAGGGTGGCCCTCCCCACAAGAAAGCAGGATGACCATCAGCCCCTATTGCCCTTGGAACACATGCACTGGTACAAGGAGCAGCCTACTGGAATATGTGGCAACCCTGGCCAAGGTCATGGAGGGTGGGGAAGATTGCTCAAAGTTAAGTTGATGTTGTCACTATTATATAGCAAAAAGAATAAGAAATAATCCAGGATTCTAAACTGCATCTATTGTTAAGTTTTACACTTGCCTCCCTATCACCTATCACATGGAAATCAACTTGCCTGTGATATGAGGCAAGGGTTAACTTTCTGGCTAAAATTTTTATGTGACAATAGTAAAAATTTTGCTAACCTCTGAGGGGCAGTCTTATCTTCTGGGTTTCCTCTTCATTTTCTCAGTCCCAACCCTAAAGAACATCAATGCAGACCTGTGTTTGTTTGCTCTCTCTCTCTCTCTCTCCCTCCCTCCCTCCCTCTCTCTCTCTTTTCTTACATAGAAGAAAAATGGATTCAACTCTGTGAAAATACATTATGCTTTTACGGCTAGTTGTGGTACTTCTTCTGAACAACTTCAGAAAACACATTGTCTTAGTTACTTTTCTTGTTGCTGAGAATAAATACCTGACAAGTAAAGTTAGAAGCAGACAGGTTTATTTTGGTTCACGGCTTGTAGAGGTTTCAGTTTATAGTTGGCTGGCTCCAAGGCAGGGTAGCATGGCAGAGGGGCACCGCAGAGGAGAAATGGTTCATGCAGAGCAGAAGGCAGAAGGTAGGAAGGCAGCAAAGCAGCAAATGTCAGCAACAGCCCCCTGTCCCTTATAGTCAATCTTGGCTACATGCCCTTAGGGTGGGTAGCACTCACTCGAAGGGTGGGCCTTTCCACTATACACACTCAGAATTATGCCAAACCAATCAGTAGACTGATTTAGTAATCACACACCCTTAATCCCAACATCACACACTTGAGATCCAGCCACTTCTGAAAAAGCCCCACCTATGAACACATGAGGCTTTGGGGGGACCATCTAGACACAAGTCAAAGCACGCATCAAAACATCCCTGGAACCTTTATACACATGCCTTCTGAACTGTATTAAGAATGCCAATGGATGAAGAATCAGAAGACTTGCTGTCTAAACCGAATGAACTACTGTGGATGATAATGACCATGGAAAAGTCTGTCGGTGCCCTCAGATTGAGTAATAACAGTAACTGTGATGGCAGTGACAAGAATTAACATGCATCAAATGCTTACCATTTACCTGTCCTACATGTAGCAGCATATTTGATCTTTGCAGGACCCTTGTGAGATGCAGTTATCATCTTTACAGATGCAGAAACTGAGGCACAAAGAAACTTAGAAGATTGCTCTAGGTTAGACAGCTAGTATGCTCTATAATGGAACGGGATCAGATGTTATGGAAGTTCATCCATTTAGCTCAAAAGTTTACTGCACTTGTGAGAAAAGTGAACAAATGTCAAAACTAATCATAAGATTTTCTAAGAGGTCATTCCTCTTACAGCAACACTAACATTAAGAAATGTTTCATTTAAGGCCGGGTGTTTGGCTCCGTGGCACCACGCCTGCCTTGCAAGTGCAAGGTCCTGAGTTCGATCTTCAATACCAAAAAAAAAAAAAGAGAGAGAAATGTTTTATATTACTGATACTATATACCAGATACTATCACCTTTGGCAAAGATAGTTAAGGAATTATTTCAAGACTATGCTACCCAAAAAGGTAAAACTTTTGTTGCCTAATTTCCTTCCTTGTACTAATGGGCACTAAACAGTATGATCAAGCACCATGTAGAAGTGAGCTAGAGTAGAGCTGACTTGGCACGGCAGAGTGAAACACAATTCAGACCCTGAGTTGATGTGAGTTTTAAAAACAAGCTATGTGCTTTAGATAATATTTCTATGAAAGTAGATAGTTTTCCATTACAAAAGGATTGTGCAGAGAGAATGATATGAAAGCTCCTGTTTCCCTCTCCATGTCCCCACCTGTGGTTAACTTAATAGGGAGGAGAGACAGTGTCTGTAATTCACTGACCAACTTTTATTCTCCCAAAGACGTAGCTGAACTGGACTTTGCCACTAATTATATCTGCCAAGCAAAAATGGCTGCTTATCCGAGATCATAGGTACAAAGTGAGCTCTTCTGTTAAGTTATGTGTTCTATATCACATTAACATCCAATCAAAGAAAATAAAACTTTAGAAATCTCCACTTGGAATGACAAATGCATGTATGAGAATCTTCAGATGGTCAATTACCCACATCAGGGGTTTAAAATGTAAAACTACAGTGTCATTACACCTTAGCAAAGTTTGTGTTTAGGTTATTAATTACAGTCTTTTTGGCCCAATTTGGAATAAAAGAGTAAGCCCTTCTTCAGGGGATATAATATTTTATACACAACTTTTTATCCTTTAGGTAGATGACACCTCAAAAAATATCTGCATACCAAACCTGCCTTAGGAATTCTGGAGTAAGTTGTATTCACAGCTTTCACACTTCTAAAAACATGTCAATCCAGATTTTACTGCAATCATTACAAGTACAAATAAATATTACTGACAGAGAAGTAACATCAAAATGCCTTAATCAAAATGCATTTAACAACAGCTATATCCAAATTATGTATGAATCTTAGAAATAATCTTTAGTCAAAAAAGCAAAATGTAGCAGACCACATGTAAGTGTACAGCATGACTGAGAGACAATATTTTCTGATTTCCTGAGGATTTTTCTACTTTATGCTTGTTGTCCTATTGTAATTATGAACAGCATACCTTTACACGTTCAAAAGTTTCTCAGCTTGGATGCAAAATTTTAGTCATCTTAAATAGGATACATTTCTGCAAAGAAATTTACTAAGTAAAATTAGTAACCTATATTCTATGAATGTTTGTAATAAAATTCTAAAATACAAAAGCAAAGAATTATTATAAAACACAGAGAATATCTGAGGTAGGGAGAGAAATATAGCTTAGGATAAGGAAAGATTTTATAGGTAGATACAACAGCACCAGTGATACTCCAATTCTAAACTGTATGGTAGGGCCCTGTATATTCATTTGATAGTTTTTATTCATAAATTAGCATATACCTATGCTTATATATAATATCCTGTAATATTATAATGTATAAATAGAGTCCATAATAAATGTTTCGTAAAAATATGAAAAGGATAAAATGTTTTAAAAGGGGGCAAATTTAATCACCTATGATTTTGAGGACAGAATCACTTATCAAAAAATTTATTAGGGATTCATATCCATCCTGGTAGCATACTTTTTGGCAGCCATCTACATCATGTTAGCAAAAATTGCACAGAAAAAAACTACATAAAGTTTAGCGATAAAGAAAATCCAATTGCTTGGTGGGTTTGAATGGATAACATCTGGTATAAGAAAGCTAATGCGAATGAAGCAACTGACAAATAATCAAATAAATACGCCAATAATATAATACAAGATGTAGAAGATACAGAAGGATGTATGACAACTGAAAAAATTGAACATGGGTTAATTTGAACATAAACTCCTTATATCAGAAAAGAAGTTACAAGTTTGCACCTTCTGTTGTATATTGTACAAAGTAGTGATGCTTTAAATGTTTTGACACTGATCAATATGTGAGCATGATCAGACAAGATAAATATAAACTCAAAAATAAATTAGGTAAATAACTTCTGTGATATGTATCAAGAAAAACCATAAAAAGGTCAATACTAGTCAACAATCTCACTTTAGTATACTTAAGAGGATCTCCTTTAACAGAATCATTACAAAAGATATATTGAGAATAAGTAGCTTTGTGGTTTGTGAAAAATTGAAGAAAGTAGTTGGTCATTTTATTAAATGGGTGGTTACATCCATTTGCTAAATGTCTTTGGGAACTGGGACACTGATATCCTTTGGTGAGAATGTAGTTATGTGGCTAACATGCAATCCTAGCCCTAGGTTTTTAAACAGTAACATAAAGTAATGGAATGTGAGTGCCACTGATGAAAACTATACCTGTCTTTATTAATAAGAACACCATAATGATTAAAAAAGCGAATACCTGGAATACTTGCAGGAGAAATCGGGCCAGAGCGTGACTGATTGCTTCCTACAGGAGAGCCAACTGGAGAAGGTGACGGCCCCCCCGGGATGCTGGACAGATGAGGCGATGCATGTGGAGAGAAAGGTGACTGAGCTGGGTTGCTCTGATCCCCTTGGCTGCTTGTAGACCCAGATGCACTAACTGCTGAGCTCAAGGTTGCTTCTGTTCCTGTGGGGAGGTCATCAATGGAGCCAGACAGGTCCTGAGAAAGCAAGCAAGCATGTATTTATACAGTAATACATATTTGGACCAGTATCTAATCAAAACACTATCTGAAAATCATTAACGTCAGAGAAAAGGTTTTTGGGATAACTCCCACAATTCAGATTATGGCTGCTTGTTATCAGAAAACTTTAAATAAACTCATAAGATTTGGCATCTCATAAAAAATGAGGAAAGTTGTGTCTCTTGCATAAAACCATGCTTGAAACTCTTCTCTTTACTACTAGCATGGAGCCTGGTGGACTATTCCAAGTGCAATACAGAATATCCCTCTGTGAGATGACTTACCATAGGCATGGTATGCCTGGCTCCTAAATGAGGACTTCAATGAACAGAGCTACTACAGGCTCTGGACCCCTTAATTTAGAATTAGATATTGGCAAACTGAATTTCAAACTAGGACATTGTAATGTATTAAACAGTCAAAATTTTAACCAAACTTTGTGTTGACAGGTTTTTACATTTTAAATGACAATAAAATATCATTATAATACAATGATATTTGTATTTTTATATATTGTGAAAATAAGTCCCTTTAAAGTTATGTTGGCAGAAATCAGTCTTATTGTTAAACACTATCTTTTACACACCAATTTTATGGTGGTAAGACCATTTAATATGACCATAACACCTTTTGGGGGCAGTTATCAAAATCTCTATTTGACAGACTGAAAAAACTGAAGCTCACAAAGTTATTGTTGAATATCACATTACCAAGGACAGAATGCAGGTGTTAAAGAAAATCAAGGAAAGATGAGAAAGAGAAAGAAGGAAATGGTCTTCTGTACCTTTACCAGAATGAGAGGGGGATGAAGACTTTATTTTGGCCCATTTATTGCTGTGCCCAATGGCCTAGAGTGCTCAGTAACTAACAGATGCTCAGTAACTAGTTTCAGGCCTGCTGGACTGACTAGACAGCCAATCCCTAACTCTGCAAACCCCATCAAAACTGGGAGCTCAGTGCTGAGTACATTATAAAAGCTGAGTTGAAGTATAAAAAAAATTTTGTCCTAATAACGTAGAACTAAATACTGTAGAATGGAATCAGAGATACCTAGTTATGTTATTGCATGCAAGACATATTCAATCCTAAGAGATATTCTCTATTTTCTCAATTTTAATTTTGCTTACAATAGGGAGTTTTGAAACTAAGGCTCCGAAAACTGGTGGAAGGAAGATGCTTCTAGTTCTAAGAATAAATGTAGTCTAGAAGGTATGAAAGGGGCAAGGTCACAGCTCATCGAGATACCCCAAAATGGTGTCACAAAGCAAATTCAGAATTAGGATCCTAGTTCCCCAGGACAGCTATCTGTTGATCTATGTTACAGTATATAATTAACTTCTCTTGTTTAACACCAAAGCTGTTCACAATTTAAAAATATATTCTAAGGTACAGCTGATGAGAACTTCACAAAAAATGAATATTATAAAAAAAAGTCTTGTGCTAAGAAGAGTAACAGATAAGTAAAACAAAGAGTAACCTTCAGTTATGGCACTGTGGCACACTCCTGTAATCCCAGCTACTCAGAGGGCTGAGAAAGGAGGATCCCAAGTTTGAGGCTGGCCTGGGAATCTTTGTGAAACCCTGTCTTAAATTAAATACGAAGGCTAGGGGGGTAGCTCAGTAGAAGAATGCTTCCTAGCATGCATGAGGCCTTAGGTTCAATCCTCATTTGAAATAAAGAGTAATCTTCACTGTCAAACAATTACTGCTTATGAAAAACAACACAATGGCAACAGGGCAGACTGAAAAAAAAATACACCTGGATGAAATATCAATTTTTTAACAAAAAATTATGTAAGTTGAATCTGATTTTCAGAATTCAGAAATAAACATTTCTGCTCAGGGCACATAAGATGCACGATTTTGCACATGTTCAGTGGGTAAAACTTTGATTTGATTGTTGGGTTCAATAATAGCTCCATGCAGACCTTCCAAATTAAATACAACTTTTGTGAAGCTAGGTAGAGACAGAGGAAAGTTACTAAACCAGTAACATGGTATATACACAAGCAATTACACTTCAGCAATCAAGGTAATTAGTGGAGTTCCTTAAAAAAATGGCTAATAGACATGCACATATACCGATGTGCTCAAAGACAAAAATGGTACCTGATTTTCTCCACTCCTCCAGCCCCAGGCTGCCTGCTGATTTATAACTGTGTACAACCTCCACGATGTAGTGTGGTCAGAGTCTCAGGTCATTCTTCCAGTGTTATTCTTCCCTTCCTAACTGATGTAACCAAGTCAGAAACATGTGAAGGGACACACCTGCAGTGGTTCTGTTTAAAAATAGGAGAGTGCAAACTATGGCCTGTGGGCTGAAGGTGGGCTATTTTTACTCTTCCCAAATGTATACATTTTTAAATATTTGAAAAAGGCTTTAAAATATTATTTTGTGACATACAAAAAACATATGAAGTTAAAAGTATGGCATTCACAGCACTTCACTATATAAGCCATGTGCATGTCTTTCTGTGTTGCCTATTCCTGCTCCAGGTCAATGGTGATGACAGAAACCATGTGACAGAGACCCTGTAGCCTGCAAAGCCTATAATGTTAACCACGTGACCCTAACAGGACAAGACTGCTGACCTTTGACTGAAAAGAACCCTGTACACTAGTATTGCCTCTATTGACTTTGCCTCCTCATTAGGAGAAGTCTGAATCGAGAAGTCTCGGATGAACTGCACAAAGGCCTCACTATATATTGTGATTTGCACAAACTTTATACCAAGAACAACAACTTACTCTGTTACCACAACCATCTGAAAAGTACTGGGCCTCCCATTAGGATGGAAGGCAGCCTCCATGGGCTAGGTGCTTACATAACACCTAATTACTGGGGAACACTAGTAAGCAAATGCCAGTCAGACAAGACTTGGCAGGAGGAAACATGTTTCCTTATGCTTCTCTACAGAAAATCTAATCTGGAAAATAACTAGATATACAAGTATTTTCTATTATACTACATATGGAGTTAGAAAATAAAATAAAGATTCCATTTTTAAAAAAACTATCTATCACAGTTAAATCTTCACGCAAACAAAATGTTGCTTGGAAATTTTTGTGATTTTCCACATAAGCTACAAATTCCTTCCTTGTCCTCCCTTAAAATTCCATGTTACGGTTGAAAAAGTAACATCGATGGGTGCTAAGAGAATTTCATTTAAACTGCAAAGCCATCAAAAACATTTCTGTTATTCAACAAGCTGATCAAGGAACTATCAAGAGGAAAATATAAAAATGGCGGCTTCTTTTTGTTCACTTGTCATCAGAATTTCAGCGCTGACTAGACGTTGGTGTAACAGAAGAGTAATAAAAAGATATAATTTTATACTACTGGTATACATATGTGATTTTTATATGTAAATTATATGAAAATATTCCCATTCTTCAGTTACCTAGGGTATACATATGTAGAGCTATCTTAAAACACACTAATAAAAGAAGTTCAAAGTGGTTTAAGTATTCAGCCTAGTTAACAAAGAGGCTCTGTAACTAATACTCCCCTAGAGGTCAATTTAGTCAGCAGGGCACAAACTCCCTTTTTCATAAGTAGTATTAGATCTATAGTGCCTATAAAGAACAGAGAGGCCTCTCTGCATCTCATTCCAGCAGAGGCACCTTCAAGCTACAGTGCTTCCATTTATTTTGCCATACAACTGGGAGGTAGGGAAGCTGCAGGGTGGACTCCTCAGTCTGAAGAGTCCCCTGCCCCACAGCATTCCTTAAACCCTCCATGATGCCTGATGGAGTGATAGGTAAGGCAATAACTTCACTGCCTCACACAGTAAAGTCACTATTTCGCCATCATAATTTACTTTGGGAAATCCTGCCATCAAGTTGGGTTTTCAATGTCTAACATCACTTAGAATACATAATACTTTCTAACACATCAAAAATAATATGACCCCTACTATTAATGCTTATTTTTTAAAAAATCATTGTCTCAAAAAACCCAGAAATCGAAAAAACAAAAACAAAGAACCACAAAGCTTTTTATTTTAAAACTGAAAGTTCTCTGCCAAGACTTTCCCTCTGTAACCATCACTGGCTTCGCCCCATCTCTGTCCCTGTAAAATTTTAATTCTAACCCAAGTGATATACGAGATTTAATTTGCTATAGAATGAAAGGCCACCAGAGAGCAGTAACAATCTTATCAGACTCTGACAAAAGAAACATTTATAAATGAAAATACAGAACAATGGTGTATATGTTAATTCAATGCACTTGGTCAGGGATGAGGAAGGCAGTGACAGAAGGAATGTATATGGGGACATTCTAGAAAGAAGGCACACAGGAATAATTTTTAAAGATCTACATGTCCATCAAACAGACATATGACGTTAGGTATGAATATTGTCTCATGTTTATATATTTCGTATATTGCATAACCTCCCTCAGAATATTTTATATTAATACATTATGACTATCTGAAAAGGTATCTTTGACTTTGATGGTGTTTAATGTAGCATAAGTTAGCCTCGTAAAGGATAAATTCAGTCAATATCAGTGATGTTTTACTGTCTTAAAGAACTGGGGATAAGTTTAAAAATTTTACTCCCTTGCTTAATTAAATAAATGGATTTTTAAAAAAGCAAATGAACTTCCAAATACACTAAGCTCTGGTTCTCAGCACAATTAGTTGATGGTATTAGATAAGTACTGCTAGCTAGCTGCCCTAGTGCTGTGCACATTTTGGGCATCTCATGCTCAGAAGTCCCCCCAGAGAGCACTGGGATAAACACTGAGTTAAAAATAGAAAAGATATTTCAATCAATGTGACTAGCTCAGGTCTCTTGTTTCCAAGTTTTAATAGGATACAGTTAATGATTTCTCACTGTGACTTCCCATGGGTTTCAAGCACAGGTTAAAATGCCATTTCAATGGTCTTCAAAAAAATCTCTCAGTCATCTTCAAAAGCAGAAAGAATGTCTCTTCTCCTTTTCAGAGTAAGTACGACATATCTCTTTTC